AAGATGGTGGCTTTCACTTAAAATACCAGCCCGCTGTCCCCATCCCTGACACCTCTCCGATCCACAGGGCTTTCGAAGTTGAATGCACTGTCGACGCTGTTGAGCAGAATCTGTACGACACCAGCCTGCTGCACTCCGACCCCACGCTCCCTGCAGAGGTGGTTGGGCACCAAGAGGAACCCCTGAGTGTTGCTGCTGGCGAGGCTCTGCAGATGGCACAGGCCAGGGCAGTGGTAAGGTGCACCTGGTGCTGTTCCCCCCCCCCTCGTTAAAGCTCTCTGAACCCCCGCCTCGCAGCACTGCACCGCGATCCCTGCCTCTGTCCCCCACCCTGTGTCTCACATCACCACCTGCCAGTGTCGTGTGTCCCTGTGAACTGGCCTCATCACCATAGCATTTCCCGTTCCTGTCCATGACTCCAGTTCCAGTCAAGTGCTGCCTGTTGGCCATGGATTGGCCAGTCAGGTGATACTGTATTCAATCCATGGATCAGCCCCTCAGCAGGGGTAGGTCAGCGTAGTTCCTTTGACGTCAGTGAAGCTGGGTCGCTGTGCAGCAGCGAGGGTCTGGTGCAGTATCTTTAATCTGCCGTATTTACTGATTGGGTTGTTTTGATCCTGACCCCTCTCTCTCATCTGTATTTCAAGCTGTCTAATGTCTCCTGCCCCTCACTGTGCTGTCTGGGCTCGGGGCTGCATCCTGTGTCACTCAGAGCTTTTCTCACATTGCTTGGGAATTGCTGGGTGGGAGCCCGGCTCCAGTTGTGTTCTCTGCTCCTTGTGACGTGCACGTTGCTTCGTACCAGGACTCCCCAGTGTCCCTGGAGCGTGAGTCTGCTCATCAGGAGAAACACCCAAGCCCTCGCAAAGCTGCACCCTCTTCTGTGCCCACGCAGTTGGCGAGTGCTGGGCCCAGGGAGCCTGGTGCCAGGGCCCCTGGCATGTGCTCTGCCACCTCTCCGGCTCTCCAGCACATTGGCACCACACTGTATTTCCACGGGCCTGAGCCGCTGCTCCGGAGCATCGTACCGCTCGGGAGGAACGCCAGTGGGAATCATGGCCGAGTTACTGCAGCCCCTGTGGTGGGGATGGTGGAGCATTCCCCTCCCAGAGATGAGTCCAGCTCTGGAAGAGCCATGATGTCTGTTACAGTGGAAATACACCTGTACCCTTGCAGCCCAGAGATGTCCTCAGCCCCAGCAGCCATGCAGAATGTCTCCGAGTCGGCTCATCCAGGGGCAGCAGGGGCAGCGTCCCAGCAGCCGGCGTCGCTGGGCGCCCGGGTATGTAAGCGCCATTGCGGCTGCAGCTGTATTTCTGATTGCAGGGTGCTAGGCAGAGGGCAGGGGACTGGCTGGCTCAGCCTTTCTGCTCTGGGAACTGCAGCGGAGTATCAGGTCTCTGCCTGAAGTGGATCATTGGCTGGACAGATGACTTTCCCCTCTGAAGTTAGGTGCTGGCCAGACAGGGTGGGTCGAGCCTGTCTCATGAGCATTGGGCCCATATTGGCTGTCAGGCCAGAGAGGGCATTTGAGCCTTACTGTGTGGGTATGATTGGTCATGAAAGATACAGAGCAAAGCCAGGATTGTCGTGGCCAAATTCCATCTTGGGTAGTTTTCTGCACTCCTCATTTCCCACTTCAGTTTATGCTTCACTTCCTGTTCCAAACTGTTGCGTGGGGTTGCTGTGCATTGTTCAGCTGTTGCTGTGTTCCATTTCAGAGGTGGCTGCATTTCAGTGGGGGACAGAAGCAATCCCTATACAGTTTGTCTAAGTAGTTAAGAGGGTTTGGGGATCCTCCTGGGTAAAAACTCTGCAGATCGTGCACTTTACTGCACAGCTTCTAAGCCTGCTGCTGTTTTCTGGAGAATTCCGTTTCTTGAGGCTCTTGTGAATTCTCATGCACAGAGTGTCCTGCTCATACACTCTTCTGACTTTCACAGGGCCCAGGAGTTTTTTGTGACTGGATTAAAACTGACCCAGTGAAGTCTTGAAAAGGACAAAATAACTCTTCTCTGGCAGAGGGAGGCCAGGAGCAGCCGCGTGCCCTGATGATTGGTGCTCTGAAGTGGGTTAGAATATTCTACTATGTATATGGATGTTTGTTCTTACCATGGTCCTGTGGCACCTTTAAGACTAACAGAAGTATTGGGAGCATAAGCTTTC